ACTGAAAGATTGCATGTTTTGGAGTAACAATACTGTCAACTGCATAAAAGTATATTCTCACTCTTTATCTTCAATTCTTGGCCTGGATCAGAGCATATCTAACTAATTAGTAGATCAAAAATTTAACTGCTTATAAGTAACATAAATTGTATATTAGAACTGCCATTTAAGTCAATGGAGGCAACTTTAGGATTTTTCCTAGATTTTATCACCTTAAACTGGTAAACAATGTTAGTCAGAGCGTCCGCGGTATTGTTAACCAGCAGGGTACATAATTGTTAATGCCAGTTGAGGTGAATCCAACATTAACTAATGTGAGTGCAAGCTCTCAGTAATTATATCTTTAAGGAATACAAAGATTCTTATACTAATATCCTCTTGACACATTTACATATATAGGCTGTACCACTTGAGTCAAGTAGGTCAGGTTATTGTGATGCAATCAGTCACAGAATCATTTTCTTATAGAGTTTTTTTGTTTTACTAGTTTTTCATATAGGTCATGAAATACCCGTGTAAATCAAGATAGCATAGGATAATATGGCTTTAGAGAATAATCAATTTGCTGTATGAAAGTTTTTTGCAGTTAGATTTGTAAATGTCATGGCATTTTGGGATTTAACTTGGTGCATTGTGGACTCATTGTCATTCCTCCAAAGTGTTGTTTCAAACTTTGCACGGGAGGGTCAAGTTGGTAAAGTATCATTTTCAATCTGTGCAGTCGAGTTGTCACCTTGACAACCATTCCATAAATGATCTTGGATAGATTGTTGGTTATATAATGCAATGCAGTTACAGTATATGAAACAGCGTGTTCAGATTGGCTGGAATCAGACACACCTTTCCTAGCTATATGTGAATTATCAATCACAAAGCTGAGATAATGTAAAAATACATCTAACAGAAAACTGTAAATGTTTGCATTGGCAAGATAACATAAGATGTGATTGGGTATTACCTTGAACATATTTGTTATCTTTTAGAGATTGCTTTACTTTGATATATGTAATTTGTCACATAATCAAGTGAATCATATAAAATGTATATCCTTCACCAGCTAGACAGCATTTCCGCCTTTAATAAAGCTTCCATTTGAAAGAATACAAGGCTGTGCTTGAATAATCAAGTTTTTATTATTAATTAATTAATGCGAACCTTTTCTTTGCTATCTGTGCAGTGCCTGGATTAATACTCATCCTTTGTATCAATGTTTATCAAAATTTGTTTGCTTGCTGAGATTTAACGTTTTATTATTGCCGTATTGTATCTAAAGTACCTTGATTTTGTAGGGCTACATTTGCTCCCGTTGAATTGAATAAGTATTAGTACATTTGGTCATTGTTTTCATGCTTATTGATGATAAGAATTTTACATGACATCACTCGCACATTTCAACATTCAACATCATGAATTATGAATGGAGTTGCTTTTTACTCACTTTTTTTATTCATTTTATTTTTAGAAGCAATTTTCTCGGGCATCTTATCTACTGTGCTAAGTAAATAACTCGTAAATGCAAAGTTCTGAGCCAATCATTCCACATGATAATTTATGACCATCCAAGTATCACCTGCCCTACTCTCAATATTTCACGAGTAATTCATATGATTGAGCCTTTCTTTAATTTATGGATATAGGTTAACTAATATCATAGGATAAGTAACTTTTAACCGGTAACCGTGATCTCAAGAAATACTTAAATGGTATTATATTATCATAAACATTGCTAAAAGGAAAAGGAGCATATTATGTTTAAATAGAACAAATTGAAATTTTATGAACTTGAAAAAGTTTAATTTTGTATTATGCCTCTGAATCATCTTTTGACTGGCATTTACCAATTTGGTAATGATAAATTTATCATGTTTTTCACCAGTCTAATATTTAGCTGAGAGATTTTAGACATTATTAGCAATGTTATTACCACATTGGTCCATGTCAGTCAAATAAGATTGGGAGTGATTGAAAGAATGGTGGATAAATAAAATACTTTGTGAAGATGCTATTACTAATCTGTGATATTATGTTGTTGTGAGAAGTGTCTGCTTTGATACAAGGTAGTATCTGTTATTAAGGTTTATTGTAACAATGATGAGGATAAGTACAGTGCCTCCATTGGGTCATTACCATCTTACTTATTCCACTTAGCAGTTCCTTCATTTACCACAGCATACCTTATCCCAGTCTGCCTTACATCAACCATACCACTTGTTGTCCAATCAGATAAGACACAATTGAAAGACTGGTGTAGTGCATTATGGGAATGGGTAGCCTCTCTTGTACATTTATCACTCGTAGGAAGCAGAGGTACAATAGAAGGAAATTGCAAAGCAATATCGGGGGATCACAATGCCATATTCTTCTAAGTTTATTGGTGGCCTTTTTGCTACCATTTGTTTTCATCTTGCCTTATATCATAGACACATCATTTATACAAAGTATATTTTGGATAAAACTTATTGTATTCATTCAAAACGCCATGAAGCCATCCAGGTCTACATGTAAATGCTTAATATTTTCAATGATAAAATAAGGCATTGACATGCAAATGGTTACTACCTGCCATTTGTTTTAAATGTTACAGAATCCTATTTTAACATTTAAAGAAGTCATTCGTGGCTTTTAATACCATTTCAATCAGGATTTTATTCATTGTGGGTACAAAATCTAAAATGAAAAAACAAACTTTTGAGAATGTAACAGTTGTGACACCATAAACAATTTCAAAATCTTTTTAAAGTACACTTTTACATCCACATATTTTATATTGAGAAAAATTAATTTAAGATATCACCTAAAATATTGGAATGTGTTTTAAAAAATTCCGGCCATATTTTTCATTTGTATATTTACAAATGATGATAGAAAATATAGTTCAAATGTAAAACATCATGATTTGATGCTGAAATGACATTTTTCATTTTCATGTTTTTCATTGTGAAAATTCATTACTACTTTAATGCCTTGAAACATCTTACAAGACTGTTCCCTTGAGAGAATTGATATCAGTCTCCTTGATTACATTACCGAAGATGACAGTTTTAAAATGAAGCATATAATGGTGCATTTATGTTTTCTTTATAGATCTGCTTTCAATTAGCATATTTATAGACAAATCGTGAACATACAATCAGGCTTTCTTATTATTTAGCGCTCAATTGATTTGTTTCATCAGATAAATCAATTAACAAAACAGATGAAATTCCATAAATATGAAATGACCAATTATATCACAAAGCAGGTTCTATTTATCTTTGATGAAAATGTTGTTTTATCACTGGGTACTGATATTGTTTCATCTCGTACATTTCCGTGCGGAGGTGATTGATTGGTTTTGTTAGGATATATTGTTTTAGTTAGGCTTCTGTCATTAGATATGCACGCTGTTCATGATTTAGGAGCACATGTAAGAGGCGGTAATGTGAACATCATGATAATATGCGACAAGACGCTGGCTTGATTAATCTTAAAGCCTTATAAGGTCATGAAGCCATTGCATTTATGTGTGCTATTATATGAAAAACCTGTGGTAGATTAGAAAGTAGACCTATCAAGAAGTCCGGCTTGTGTTAATTAGCAGCTCATTGTCCATCATATAATTAGGGAACCAAGGAAACATTAGGCAGTCATGGCTGAAAAAGTCAAAGCGATCGTGTCTGTTTAATTATGACATTTCAATTACAGTTACAGAAGTGCATTTATAAATTAAAATTGAATGTAGGCACTCATAATGAAATAGAAATGTAGAATATACAGTTAAAGCAAGAACCAATATGTTTTGTTCTGTGGGGTTTCGCTCTCCGTTATGATTTTCTTATTGGTCAAATTAGGTTTGCACTTTCTGCAATAACAAGCTTGCATCTTAAAAAAGCAATTAGCTGGTCAGGGACTAATTGTATCTGAAGTGACAGCGAAAACAAATAAATGAGAAAATCGAAGGCTTGTCACTTTGTATCTCACCAAAATGCAATTTATGCTGGAATACTGTACTCCCATTTCCATGTTTTTGTGTGTTCTGCCTTCAAATTAAAGAATGTCATTCTCCTAGTGTGGGTGGATGGTGAGAAAATGATATTACCGTTGTGAGTTCAGATTCTTTGATATTATGAGACAAATCGTGTAGTTGTTTTCAAAGGTGTTTGTGTTATAGATGAAAGCTCGTATCTATGAGACTTCAGGAAATTGTTCAAGAAACACAGATGTTATCCTTTATCAGATTTCTGTCCTTTGAACATATCTTGCTATAAAATGCATTGTTTTCTGTTTTCTGAATACCAATGAAACATTGATGATAAACAACTACTGTTGCTAATATTTAGTATCGCTCTTAGCATCAGTATTGTTAGGCATTTAATAATATGAGAAATTGTGTTACTGTATTTATTTAGATTTCATTTGATACAGTCTAAGAAAATTAGATCACAGGATGCGTTGCCATGGGAATTTGTTATAATTGCCTCAGATGAGGTTCCTGTTACACAAGAAGCTTATGATTTGTAAACAGCTTTTATCTTTTCTGTATAAGAAACACATAGTGTTATTGCTTCTTCGACAATAGGCCAATAAGAGGGACCAGTAGTATATACATGTATATGTAGTCTGTTTCAAAGTGTCTTAATAACATATGTGAATATTTGTTTTCTTTGTCTATAGGTCCTTTTCCATGATTCAGTTTTTTTAAATATAATAGATTATGATTCGAGAGAAACCCTTCACTGTTATATCATGAAACATTATCAAAATACAGAAATTGCAATATATGACAGTTAGGAAAAAGCCCTCCTTAATTGGAATATTTAATCACTATTCGAGTATGTCTTTTAAATCAATTATATATATACATGTATTGCCAAATGGCGTAAGATTGGACCTGGACGAGCTAAAACTTTCAATTCCTATGAGTTTTGAGTTTGGTATGTTGCACAGGGGATATATCATGAGGTCATTGTTTCCCTTTATGGCTAAATATTCATCTAACAGTGCCATGTTTTCTTTTCCAGAGTAACAGGAGGTGAATTATTTGACAGAATTGTAGAAAAAGGTAGCTATACAGAAATGGATGCCAGCTCACTAATCAAACAAGTTTTAGAGGCAGTTGACTATATGCACGACAAGGGTGTGGTACATAGGGACTTAAAGGTGCGTTAGACATGAAAACATTAGAGAGCTTGAGCTATACATGTTTGAGAGAATGTGAACATGTAGAATTATTGTCTTCTCGGGATTATATCTATCTTTTGTCATACTTCCAAGCTCAATTTAGAATAATTGTATATGGAAAATAGTTGTAATAAGTTCCATAGAAAAACTACTCAAGAGGGGACAGTAGCTGACAGTGATTCCCGAGGGAAATAATATTACATGCTCATGTACAAGTTCTCTTAAAAATGTGTAGCTTAACCACCTTATTGACAACAGGGTTTCATTAGAAGGAAGCATGAGGCAGTTTCACTTTTGTTGAGATATTTTCATTACTCTTGATGTTGAAATTCAATTTTCAGAAGCTGTGCCTCCTTGCTAAATTTTACTGAAATCCTGACTTGACAAATATAAAGAGACAGTTTGTCAAAGTTTTCAGAGAATGTTGTAACACAGAGTTCAAAACCCCCTGTATTCAGATACTAAAGGGATATATAGATAAGATTAAAATATGAAAAATTATAAGAAACAGATTTGATGCTAGAATATTTAAAAATAATTTATGATTTTTCACATCTTTATAATCTAGTTCAATATTTTATTTGACTTTCTTATCTAGTTCAATTGTTTTCATGTGCACTTTCTTTTAGCCTGAAAATTTGCTCTACTACAGTCCCGCAGAGGATTCTAAAATCATGATTGGAGATTTTGGTTTATCAAAGACTTTGGACTCGGGAATAATGGCCACTGCTTGTGGTACACCTGGTTACGTAGGTATGCAGTGTTTTGCTCTTCCCCAGAGCATCGCATGTGTCTATATCGGTCTTAGCAGCTTAGAGTCAGTGTCTAGTATATAGATGTCACTTGTGTTTCAGCCAGAGAATCTCATGTTCGAACGTGAGAGTGACGATGCCCGGATTATGGTTGTTGATTTTGGATTAGCACGGTCATCTTCATATGACATGTCAACTGCATGCGGAACCCCGGGTTATGTAGGTACGATATGAGGTTGCTTATCTGTAGCACTTCTTAGTTACCTGATACCCAAAGTGATATTTACCTGGTACCCAAGGTCCTGTTAACCTGGTAGCCAAGGTCCCCCTAACACTTAAGTCCATAGCATATACTAGACATAAGTTAATTAAGTCACTTCCTTTTTAGGTCAATAGACGGCATGTAGGATAGTTACATAAGTGTTTCCATTCCTCTACCATAAAGCCAGAGTAGATAAATTGCGCTGATTGCTACAAGTTAATTAAATTGGCAATTTTGCATTTCAGTCAGCTATAATGGGCCAATGCAAAGTATTGGCAATATTTCACTGTGACCTCGCAATAGTTTCTTCAAGATAATATGTCATTCGAGTATCATTTGATTTTATATATTGCATTTGATTAGCAAACAAAATAGACTGAAGAATTGTTCATTATTTGTTTAGAGAATGTGAGGGAGGGAGTCTTGAACTTGAACTAAATTTATTTAGCTAGACAACCAAAATTGGTTTGTCAAACTGTGGGAAAGAGAGGGGGATTGTTTCAAATGATGATTAGTGTTCCTTCAAAGTATTGGCACATATTGACATGTTCCCTTTACATACTTGAGTATCTCGAAGACTTTGCGATGGTTCAGTAGATATCAAACTAGCCTGATGAACAATCATACAGAACTCTGCCTACATAAGTCCATGTAACATTTAAACATATATGAAAACAATGGAAATTTTAGCATGTCAACTTATGGAGTTCTGTATAAAATGTTTTGAGGGTTAGTTTCGGACGATTGTATTGTACACCTGTGTGTTTGATATATGCATGCTTGATGTGCTTGTATTAGAGCTTGACGTGAATCTTTGCAGCCAGAGAATTTAATGTTACGGACCGTGGATGATGACTCTTCCGTCATGATATGCGACTTCGGCTTGTCAAAAACTGAGGAATCTGGCATTATGAAAACTGCTTGTGGTACCCCTGGATACGTAGGTGTGTTTAAGCGGGTTGGCATTGTGCACTTTTCTAACTTTATTATTATTTACATGTCGTGCACTTTTGATTTTATTTCAGCCTGAAAATTTACTGTACTATAGTCCAGCCGATGATTCAAAAATAATGATAAGTGATTTTGGCTTATCAAAAACAATAGATTCTGGTATCATGGCGACAGCCTGTGGCACGCCTGGTTACGTAGGTATGTACACTGATGTCCATGTTCCAGCTGTCTGACATGCACGCATTGAGACAACATCTCATTGGCTGACTGGCTTCTTCTTCTATACAACCTACCTGCCTGCCTGGCGCTGTTGTTCTTCAGCATTATGTGCTTTGTTGTAGTCAATCAATCCTTTCATTATTGCATTTAATCTCTTTCTATCTGGTGTCTCATGGCTCTTCAGTCCCTTCTCATGTGGTGGCTCATGGATAAACAAGTATACATATCGTTGGTGGTTTATCTCTATTATTTTCTTGGTATTCTATTTTGATGGTGCGAATGGCTTTATTTTTTTATGTTATAATGCTGCTTTTATTTTCATTTTAACCTCAATTGGTATTGATATGGAGAAGAGGTTAATTTTGGATTCTCTTATTTGAATTTGTGAAGTGAAATCAGATTGTTGATGCAGTTGTTATATAATGCCATCTATATCAGGTAGATTTCTGCAAATGTGTTTGTTGTATAGTCCAGCATGAAGACTGGTAGATGAAATAACAATTGTTATGAGAATCCTGAAAGTTATTTTTTCAACTGTAATGCATTCTTGATCTTGTATTGTCTTGTCTTCCTAGAGACCCACATGTTAATTTATTCTTTAATCTCTTGTTTGGCATTTTTGAATTTCAGTTTGCACAAGGATATATGCAGTATTGTTATAATGTTTTAACTTTTATTGTTGAAATGTGAATACCATTTTCAATACCTATCCCCTTTTTGTGGCCTTTATGAATTTTGCCATGTCAGTAATTATCTAAGTTATGAGCTCTTGGTTTTAATGTCCAAAGAGATATATTGCTATACTGCCAGTATGGACAGTTAAGAGATGTTCTCCTTCCCTACTTCACCTTTGTGTCTTCTGCATATGGTTTTCTGTGACTCAATTGTTTCAAAAACTATTTAACCTAAATATATTATGCAGTTTTATTTCATATACATTTTTCATTTTATTCTCTTTTTTCACCCATTTTCATGCTGTTGTGAGTCAAAGCATGTTTCTCAGATTGATGTTTGGTGAGGTTTTTTTATCAACTTTTCTGTATTTTACATATGATAGATTTTATGTCACCACCACAACATTTCCATTTGGAGTTCATCATCTGTAACAAATGGAAGGTGGTAACATTTTGCATGTTGATGCCTTGTTATATTTATATATTTGAATAGTGTGTTTTGAACTGATTCTTTTCTGAGTTTACTCGGTCATTTTTATTGAACAATTGAATTTCCTCACTGCAGACTATTAGTCACTGCAAACTATCAGATCAGTAATGCCTATCTAGGTCACTTATAAGTCATTGTTGATTATCTACTGTTAACTATCTAGGTCACTGTTGACTATCTAGGTCACTGTTGACTATCTAGGTCACTATCTTGGTTATTTTGACTTTCTTTGTCACTTTTGGCTATCTAGTTCGGTAGTCCACCATTGATTACCTAGGTCACTGTTCACTAACTAGGTTTCTGTTAACGTAATAGTTTACTGTTGACAATCTAGGCGACTGTTGACTATCTGAGCCACTGTTGACTGTCGAGGCAACTGTTGGCTATCTAGGCAACTGTTGACTGCCTAGTTGTTAACTATCAAGGTTACTGTAGGCTATCATAATTATCATTGATTTTTGCTTTGGCTATTATTGTTAGCTCTTACGTCTTTAGATTTCTGAGTGGGAAATGATAACAAACTAAAATAAAATATAGATAATGCTACATTGCTAAAGTGCCACCGTAGGTGAGGTGATGTTGAAGTTGGTATTTAGGTGGTGCTCCTTAGGGTTCTGCTTTTAAAGGTCATAGCTTTATAATTGTTTCTTGTCAGACTTGACATGGTATCATTATGTACTAATATACAAGTGCAGTTTATACATTATATATCAAGTCCCTCTGCTTGAAAAAAGAGCACTTTGCTTTACATGTATGTAGTTAAATTAGGCTTATAGATTGTAATATACAGTATTTATATATGGGTGATTTGAGTAGATGTTTGTGTGTTGTAATATTTACTTCTTAGATGTTACTTCTGTGTCTTTTTCTGAAATAATGTATAGCCTAATATATAACCTATGTTAACTAATGCTACTTTAACCTGGTATTATTTAACCTCATGCTATATATTATAAAACTGAGTGGACTTAACATAACATATTTGAATAAAAGTAGACAATACAGATATTTGCTGGAATTACACCATGCGTTTTAGAGGGGCGCCTAAGGTTTTAACCCGGTTTGAAAAATAGGTGTAATCACGATTGCAGATTTACAAAAGCGCTTTTCCAAAACTCCTAGAACCCAAGTCACTAAAAAACGCCTTAAATCATTATGCGCTTTTGGAGTGTAGTGTAATACTGATTGGCTTTTGTAAAACACCTTACCTGGGTTTTTATTATCATTTGCCCTAAACAAAATAAAACATATTTCGAATTTGGATCACTGCAAAAATATAGGAAATGATGGATAGGACCAAAAAAAGGCAATAGGTCATCAAATTATATCGTAAAAATTCAATGTAAGCTCACATCACTTTACATTTTCTCTTAGATGCTAAAAGAATACATTCATTGTAGATATACACATCTGCTGGATATTCTCCATATCTACATCGTTAAAAGCGCACCAAAGGTGTTTTAGAAATGACATATGTAATTCCAAAATAAAATTCCTAAGGCGCTTTAGAAATGTTGGTGTTATCAGAATGGCGATTTTGTAAAGCGTTTCCAATAAAGCGCTTTTAGCGTTTTTTCTGGTGTAGTTCCAGCAATTGATATAGAGAAACACATATTGAAAGTTTTAACATGTTCTAACAGATGGTAAAGAAGGCCATATAAGGTCAAATTAACTGAAAATTTAAGTAGGATGTATGTACATCTTTGTTTGTGTCAAAGATTGCCCCCCCCCCTCCCCTATATTTTCAAAATTCTCATTTCAACATGTATGCCTTAATTAGTTGGTGCAAATGGGATCTCAAGCTACTTTAATATATAGAAGATCATGTGATATATTAAATACTTCCAATATGGGAAGGTTTTACTTATACCAAACTAGTATAAGACTTCTATCATGATATACATTTATAAGGGTTATGTACTGGGAGGTTTTGGATATGGGGTTTATCCAGAGGGAGATATGCATATCTACCTGAGGGACCGTAGGGATCGAACAAGGTAGATGTGCATATCTCACGAGAAATAGAGAATTACCTTATTGGGATTACATGTTCCTCAAGGATATCTAAACTATTAGATAAACCTTAATACACCAGCTAGTAACTTCAGAATATACAAAGTATAGTAGGTTGTTTCAATGAAGACATTAACCATCAGATGTTATGCGATAACATTTACAATTAATTGAGACATGTGTTTTGGCAATGTAATGTATATATAACAGTTTATCTATTACAATACATTATGTATATTACATTACATGTATTCATAATGCCAGAATGGCTGGGTCTCATTACATGAATCTCTGTCATATTGTGTTAATTGTTTTCAAGAAGGGGAACATCCCAGAATTCAAAGATGAACCTTTCTCCATGTAAAGTTAAATCTAGAGGTTCATCTTAATATCTTTGAATTCTGGGTTATTTCTCCTCTTGTGTGCGTCATACACTTACATAAAAAATGAGTGATGATAATTAGTGATAATAGTTTTTTTTATATTAATTTTGATAATAATATGACTAAAACAAGGGAGGATGATTATGAAACCAGAAAATTAAAGCACTATATTAAGACATTTTTTTGGTTTGAGCAAAGATTCCTCGATGCATTTTATCATTTCATAACAGAATACAAATGTCACTGAAAGTCTCCATGTCTCTCAGGCACAAGTTAGATTTATTTCAAAATATGAATCTCATTGGTTTCTGTTAATCCAACTTAATAATGATGAATCATACTGAGTTCTACAGTTGGTCAAACTCAGGCACTGATTTGTATGAATACTTATTATTATCATTATCTAGAAATAAAAATGTTGTCCTAGGATTAGATTTGAAAAAAGTTCACATAGGATGTTTGAAAAACATTATTGCCCTTAGAATTGGAGACAAAATTAAATATATGCTGAAATATCAATAGATTATGTTGCTTTATATTATATTATGCATTGTTGTTTTAGCTCCAGAGGTGTTGGAACAGAAACCCTATGGCAAAGAGGTGGACATATGGTCTATAGGAGTAATATCATACATATTGTAAGTTCAGATATAGGTTTTCCTGTGGCAGATTTTGGATATACCCTGTATCAAAACCTATCAAAGGCTAAGCTTATATTCTATGAATAGAAATTTAGAGGGGTTTGAGACATTTCCTTATATCCATCCTAATGTAGATATTGGTAATATCCATTTCATCCTTTAAACTTGTTAATGATATTTCAACTTGAAATACATACAATCCATGATCATAAGATGATTTTCTTACCTGTTACTTGACAATTTAAACACCTGCCATCAAAGAATTTTCCTTTCCTACCAAGCTAAAGCAGTGGTGACACATTGTTTTATAACCACTGTTTTTTGAAACCAGTGTTTTCTAGATTGTCAATTTGTATTATCTTACCATGTGGTGATAATTATAGGATAACCTATGATTTTGAGGAATATCATTTTTATCTACGAGGTGATATTGATATCTGCACGAGAGAGCAAAGCGAACGAGTGCATATATCAATATCATCGAGTAGATTAAAATGATATTCTGAAAAAAATCATAGAATGTTCTTATTATCCTCCACTTAAAAGGAGTGTACTAAATGTTTAATATCATTGCAAAATGAATTTCATGCCAAATAAATTTCATGCCAAATAGAGTCAATTTGGCGGGAAATCAACAAGCGGAGTATATCGTCACAATATCCTCCGCATATTGGGTTTTCAGGAGTATATCGTCACAATATCCTCCGCCCGGAGTATATCATCACGATATCCTCTGGTTATTCATTTTCCCAATAGATATCAAATTTAATTTTTAATGTTATTATACATTTAATACACTAAGTGTAGGATAATATCTTGTCTTTTTGAATGTGATTGATTTAGGCCGAAGTTTAAGTTCTGCCTTCATCCTGATCTTAATGTATTAAACTATAAGTACATGTTCTTCTTCAAGGCTTTGTGGCTATCCACCCTTCTACGATGAAAATGATGGAGAACTCTTCAAACAAATCTTACGTGCAGAATATGAGTTTGATTCCCCATTCTGGGATGAAATATCAGAGTCAGGTAAGGTTGGAAGATTTAAAGCAACCCATGAGAGTTCATTATTAAAAACAGAATTTTGTTTCAATAAATGCATACTCGATGAAGCATTTATTGTCCTACGTATTGATTTTTAATAAAAGGCATTTAATGTCCTAAGTATTGGTTTTTAATAAAAGGCTAGTTTGACCACTTTAATGATGCCCATCCATTCTAAAAGCAATATGTTGAATATGAAAGAAGTATTATTTTCCTTTTTTAGACCTTCTCTATTTTTATTCTTATATTTAGACAGTTATGATATGTACATTTCAAGATGGTTTCGAATATTACAGAAATTGTGGCACTATTACAATCTAACATATAAAAAGTACACATAATTTATGAATTGTTTATTTGATTTCTTTTTCAGCCAAAGATTTTATTCGCCACATGATGTGCAAGAATCCAAAGCATAGATTCACATGTAAAAGTGCACTGAAGCACCCTTGGTAAGTAGAACCTACATGATGTCTTACTATAGGAACCTTTTGGACATATTTGCACATATATGATGTCAGTCTACAGGTCTAACATAAGTGTATGGTTCTTATATTCATGTATGAATTTGAAGCTCTGTATTTGGAGAATGAGTTTTTATATGGATTTGAGTTAATCAGTCTGATTACTCATTCTACTTTACCAACCTTAATTTTGAGCCAGATATATGATTCTTCTAGGCCTACCTTAAACAAAACATTTGTTCACACACACCTATAAAGTTTAAGTGATAGGAACTCTCCCTCTCACATTTCTGCTACTTGCATGAAATATTCAAAGCAACTAAAGATATTTTGGACATACATGTACAGTTAATTCTGTAGATTCAAACACCCCACAATATGAACATTTTTCCATCTCATTTTTAATCTTCCATAGATTTCCATGTTAAAATACCTTGAAATGTGAACATCTACCAATCCAAACACTCTTTACTTGGCCCTTTCCAAGGTTTCATGGTATTGTAATCAAGTTTGTACTAGTTTATGAACCATTGTGATTGGTTGTTTTTCCATATTCCATGTTTTATATGTTACCCTTGCAGGATCCAGGGAGACACTGCACTCAACAAGAACATCCATGCCTCTGTCAGTACACAGATAAAGAAAAGTTTCGCTAGGAATAAATGGAGGGTATGTTATTTACTGGAAACAATGATACTTTGGTTCTAACCTATAATTTCCATCTAATTGATTTGATTTTATACTGTTGATTACTTTATGCTCAAACAGGGCCAGTAAAGGATACTTAGAAGAGACCTCAATTCTCAGGGGACCATAATTTTAACTGTAGGTAGAAAGATGTTTAATTGTCCTAAAATTTTATTTTGAAGGGTATTTTTGACTTCAATTTCTTATTTCAAGAAAATATTTTGGTGTTTCCTTTAATCCAAATTTACTCTGGGAAGTATTTAGTTTTGATTATTTCCACCAAGAAGTTGTGACATGTTGTTAAAGCCACCATTTCTGTGACTGGTATCAATGTTGGGTGTCCTCAGTTGTTGTCTAATAACAATTGCTTTTTTATTAACAGATTTATTGACTATAAATATAAATAAAATCTGCATTATGACAATTGTTTTTATGTTCTTCCAGCAAGCTTACAATGCAACTGCAGTCATACGACAGATGCGAAAACTGACTTTAGTAAAAAAATCTGAGCCAGCTAATGGTGCTACTTCAAGTAGCCTAACTAACTCAACGTCATCACCTGTTCAATAGGGGGACTATTGTAGTCATGGCTTCTAAAGGGTTAATGCTGGCTTTCAATCCCAGGCAAAGGGTTAACAACTTAAAGGATATATGCCTGAGAACTGGCCTCAGACAAGAAAGAGTTAATGAACTGAGATGTGTATATTATGCCACAGGAATGAAAGGGTTAAAAGACTGATATTTGCATTTTGAATTGTAATGTTACGTTTGAGGCTAGTTTGCTTAGAATGATCTTTACAAGCATTCAATAAGATGAAAAGCAATTTTTTTAATTTTAATTATTACATATTTCTTGGGCTGAAATTTGTGAAAGGGAAATGTACCATGTAATATTTTGTTTTCACAAGTCTTAAAACAAGGAACAACAGTGAATACAGTATGTAATAAAATAATTAATAGGTATAGCACTATACCTGCCTTATGAGCGCTAATATTCAATGAAGAACAATAATTGCTAAAATATTGCCTTTATTTCTACGCACAATTAAAGTTTCAGTCACAGGGTTTTATGAGGGCTACTTCCAATCTGTGTTCACTAGTCCAGCATTGAAAGGTACCATGACAGGTGATTAAGAGTTCAAAGATTTTTTCAGTTTAAAGTTAAAGTCCTGAATATCCTCGCAGGTGAATTGCTTGAAATGGAAGTGAATCCTGCTTGATTTATGTTTCAGTTGTTTCACCGTTTAGTCTAAAGCTTGAGCATATCCAGGTCTTTCAAAGTAGAGATGAAACAGCAATTTTGACATGTTGTTTTAGACTAAAAGATTGAAGCAGTTGAAATGATAGACACATTGAAAAGAAGGAAATAATGTAACCATTGAGACAATTTAATTGATTGAAACAATTGCAATATTTGAAATGTATTTATAGTGTTCACTGAGATTTCAGAGACAAACAGTTTGAGTAACAACTGGCAATACATGACATGTAAGCTATTGTGAACCAAAACATTTACACTTATAAGTACATCTCAGATTGGGCTATATAGTAAAACCTGTGGAAAGAAAGAACAGCTTAGATTGATTCATGTGTTCGCGTATACAAGGTTTTCACATAATTCTGTCTGGAACTAAAAGTGTTAACATTTTGAGTTGATCTCTTTTGAGAAGTGTTTGCTAAAAGACTTGATGTTTTGAGGTGTTTATATATAAAAGGTGTCCACTTGTACAGGTTTTACTATAGAGTTGAAAAGTAAAAAACTGAATTACACGATGTATAATATTACCAGGAACATTAAGTATATTACTGTGTAAAAATCAAGCAGATTGGATGACTGGACTTTGGATAACATCCGAATTATGTTTAGATAAGGAAGATAGCTGATAAGCTTATTAATGATGCAATATATAATAGAAAATATATGACACAATCTGGGGATTCATACCAATGCACTTTAGACTACATCTCAAGCAGTGGCAAATTTATCCATTTTCATTCTAATTTAGTATCATGATATTTTCAATTGATCAAAGTTTTTGAAGCTGCATTATAGTCTTGCATCAAAACTATGGAAACCCCCTGCCCTTCTTGCTGTTGATTGAGGAGTGGCAGTAATGACATGGTTCATTCATTCTGATACTCATCATAGTTCACCAGAAACATCTCATGGCTGACAACAAATGAGATGTCATTGTTTAACATGATGCAGTTCAATCTCTCATTCATTATGTTATCCTCGTAAAGAAATTGTATTTTCAAATTTTCAAGATTGATATGATATAACTTTTGTATGACTCTAGTCACAGTTCACTGAGCGCAGGTGTTAGTTCAGTATGTTGAGTCAAGTATGGGACGGGTTGATTTAGCCAGGATGGGTCTTTATTTATCAGCTCATTGATAGGCTTGAATGAAAACCAGAGTTCTGGGTCACCTGACACACCTCTTCTTAATACAATCCTAGACTCTTATTACCCCATATGTATTTTTTCCCAGACCCTTTGATAGGTTGAGAATGAGGAGCAATACAAGGAGCTAATACTAAACTATCCTTACACGGAAGATAATATACCTCCCTGTACTGCACTATCAAGTTTTCATTTGTAAATAACAGGAAGGTTAAGATATTTTAAACAGTGTACTATTCTCAAGGATGAACTATCCTCAAGTTTTGTAGACCACTGCAATGTCTGTTTAGCAATGTTCCTTTATACAGGGTCACCCCATCATATCTCTGGCCCTTCTACACAGGGTGGGATTGTAAGTTCTGATTTGTCTGCTATGTGGATCATGCTATTTTTTATCTTCCAATCCCAACAAGTGTTTTAGGATTGAAGAACTTTTCTTCTAATCACCAATTTAGAGTAAAAGAAATGAGCCTGGTCATCATTTTGTTGAAAATGTTCATGTAAAAAACTTATCCTGAAGGGGCTTTAATGACAACAATAATACATATAATTATTGAAAGTTATCATGTATGGTATCTATTTCGTAATTTTCTCACGAGATATTTTTCATGGAGCATTCATGACATGATGATTGGAACTATTGAATGCTTAACATGTAACCCACCTTAAAAATGGACCACATACCTAGTCACCCACCTAAGTAACCAGTCAATTATCCACCTTGAGAAAACAGTCTAAGTAGCCTCCTTAACAAGTTAGTTACCTTAAGAGGACCAAATGCTATATTTGTTCCAATTGAATAGGAAATTATAATATTTAATTGTTATTGACTGTTGAAACTTCTATTTTGTATATACTGTATTTTTCTTCTTTTTGAAATATTCATCCATGTACTACTAGTCAGAAACCCATGCCTCTCTATCGTTTCAAAAAATTTACCCAACGTATCGGTCTCTGTTAATTTATGGCATCCATTTTTGAAAGGTGACACTTTGAGGTTCAATTTTCTGCCGGATGCCCTTGCAAACTCTCATTGGTTGCTCTGTATTGTAGCATTCCGTTACCATGGTTACGCATCTATAGACATCTTACCTTGGAATCTTAAATCATTTGTAGCTTTGTCATTATTTTGTCTATAGAAATGATATTGGTATCAAATTAAACCTAAATAAATTTCCCACATAATTATAATATTCAATTATGCAAATTAGCTCATTTGCATAAATTGTGACGTCATGAATCTATTTTTGGTTCAGAATTTTCAAGTATAGCAATGTATCTTTAAGAACTGAAGCTGTACGGTAGAATTTCTTCAATGTTATGACTTTTATTCTATGAGCAGAAGGTTTAAGCAACATAAAAGTGAAAACAGATTCAAAATTGGATCAAAACTAACAAAGTTATTAAGCTTTTTAGGCAGCTACCATGAACGTTATCACTGAACAATTAACTTTAAACATCTTACCTAAGAATTGATATGTTTGGTAGCTTTGTCATTATTTGGTCTATTAAAAGGAGATCTTGGTATCGAATTGATCCTAATTGAATAATCGGTATGGAAACGATATTCAATTATGCAAATTAGCTAATTTGCATAAATTATTATGTCATCCTATTTTTAGTTCAGAACTTCCAAGTATAGCAACATATTTATTAGATCCAAGGTTGTATGGCATAGTTTCTGCATAGTTTGTCATTTATTCTATGAGTGGAAGAGGTATGAGCAACATAAAAATGATTCAAAAATGAATTAGTATTAGCTAAGTAATTCAGCTTTTGAGGCAGCTACTATGAATATTACTATTTGACAATCAAAAGTAAAACACTGAAATAACAAAAATGAAACAATGCTGATTCAAGCTTATTGAGTGAAATCTATATATTTTCCATGTCACTGAATTAGTTGGTGTATAGAAATGATACAAGTATTTATAATTTTGACTATTATTGACAGGGGTCAAAACAGTTTTTTTGATTTTGTAACATGATTTATTGTTTGTGAGAAAGTTATGGATTAATCAGTTAGTGAACGGGTGAATGATATTGTGAAATCTGTTATGTAATCTATAATTTTTAAACTGATTTGCTTCATAGGGGGTCAATCTATTTAAAGAGATGAAACATCATGCCTGGTCAAACATCAATATTTGTTCTGCGATTCAAGCAGTGAACATCTACATGAATTTTTAAACATTTATATTATATTATTATAGATTATATCATTGCTGTTTTTCATGTCACCACCAAAAGCGGTGACATATTGTTATGACGATGACTGCTGATGACGTTGTGCCATTCTTACACCTAACACCTAACTGATTTTACCATACTAAATGCTTTTTGAAGAAATAAATCTTATTTGTTGAATTTTCTAGCAGAAATCGGCTCCCTTCACTCATTTTGTCAGATTACTGGCAGTGACATGAAAGATACAATTTTTATTTTCTAGGGTGTCTCAAAAATGTACCCAAAGGTATATCAACAGCAAAGATAAATCAATCAATATTTTAAGATATTTTTTGCATGGTCATTTAGGAAAAGCATGTACGTTTTCTCTCCAATACTAACTTTTTAGTTCAGTCTTGCCTTTTTGATGCTTTTTGACCCTATTTATACCATGTGTTTAATTTAACCTCCTTACATTTTGATAAAAGCCTGCATCCTTACTGCTACATTGTTTATCATATATGATAATGTTTCTGGTGGAATGTTTTGAATTTCCTTTCACATGTTGATCTCAAGTTGTTCTATGTCTCTTGGCTTGGGATAAGCATAAACATGGTTCTTGAAGTTATCCCAGAGAAAATGTTTGGGGTGTCAAATCTGTTGAATAGGGAGGCCCTCACAATGTCTATATGCAGAGAGAAGAAACTCCTTTCATGGGAATTTTTGTGTGGCCATTGCTGTACATGGAGGGGCTCAAATTGTCTGGAACCACAGTGTTCTCATTTGGATAACATTCAGTCTCTGTAACTCTGGCAGATGGAACTCCATTATCAATTAACCGCTAAATCATTTGACGATAATTAACCTGGTTCTCTGTGATTGTTCTGCCATCTTCAACCTTGGAACTTCTTTCTCTGGGGCTATTTGAAGGAACATGTTAAGCTAATCCCAACCCTAAAGACCTAGAACAACACAAGGCCAACACCCAAAGAGAAATTCAAAATATTCCACCTGAAACATTATCAAATGTGATGAACAATGTAGCACAAGGATACAGGCTGTCATTGAAATATGAAGTAAAAAGTAAAGTGTTAAATCATCAAAAAGGCAAGACTGAACTAAAAACTTTGTATCGGGAAGGAAACGTACATGCTTCAGCAACATGACCATTCAAAAATGTCTGAAAATATTGATTAGTTTAACTGTGCCGTTTATATACTTTTAGGTACATTTTTTGAGACACCTTGTATTATTTATCATACCAACCTATCATAGTTTATAGATACCATTGCATTTTTATATTAAGTGTTAATGAAGCGTAGAAATAAATAGTGAGGGCTTTAACCCGAGAGTTTCTACATCCATATGACACTGATTTAATGTCATCAGTGTGACATTGATATCCGCGTACCCTTTGCATTCATTTGACTTCACTTCTTAAAAGAGAGCTTCGTCTTCGTAGTTTAACTAGACTCTGCAAGCAGGGTAATATCCACGTTAAAATCACCTATATGGCATTCATTCATGTTATAACCATCTACATGTATATGTAACATTGATATTCATTTAGCATTACCCATGTCTTGGACCCATATGGCGT